AAAAAAAAAAAAAAAGCTGGGCATTGTGACAAACGCCTACAATCCCAGCTATTCAGGAGGCTGAGGTGGGAGGATGGCTTGAATCAGAGAGTTCGAGGTTACAGTGAGCTGTGATCTCAACAGAGCTAGACCCTCTCTCTAAAATAAAATGAAAGGATAACAGTCAACAAATTCTTGTCTGGATTTGGATTCAAACAAACCAACAGTAAAAATAAGTGCATTTTTGAGGTGCTCAAGGAAATTTGATCATGGACTAGGTTTTAGAAAATGTTAAGGAATTACTGTCAATTTCATCAGGAGGTGATAATTACATTATGGTTACACAAGCAAATGCCCTCTCTTCGGAGAAGCACACTGAACCATTTAGGGGTGAAATGCCATGTTGTCTGGAATAAACTGCTTTAAACTCCAAACAAGACTTGTGAAGTCCATTTGATAGATATTTGGAAATTCATTATGCGACTTCACTGTGTTTTTACATTTGCTTAAAGTTGGCCTAATGAAGCAAAAAAAAAAAAACTGAAAAAAAAAAAAAAAAAAAAAAAAAAAAAACAGAACCTTGATCAAAAAGTAGAGGTTATCACCAAGAGCCTTGCTTTCCAGGCACCCACCACCCCCGGCCGCATCCCTCTCCACACGGAGTCAAGCCTCAGTACACCAGTTGTTTGCCTTTCTCTGAACATTCTGTCATTTTCAGCTTCTTGTTTTTGCTCATGGTGTTGGCCAACCCTTCCACTCCTCTGCCTATAAAAAAACCATTCTCAGCCAGGCACGGTGACTCATGCCTGTAATCTCAACACTTTGGGAGGCTGAGTTGGGTGGATCACCTGAGGTCAGAAGTTCAAGACCAGCCTGGCCAACATGGTGAAACCACATCTTTACTAAAAAGACAAAAATTAACCAGGCATGGTGGCAGGTGCCTGTAATCCCAGCTACTCAGGATGCTGAGGCAGAAGAACAGCTTGAACCTGGGAGGCGGGGATTGAGGTGAGCGGGGATCGCGCCACTGCACTCCAGCCTGGGCGACAAGAGCAAGACTTTGTCTCAAGAAAAAAAAAACAAAACAAAAAAAAACCACCAACAACAACATATCACTCTCTGCTTAAGGTCTGTCCAACTTTGACCTTCTCCTGGCCCTCCAGTGAGCACCCACCTCTCAGCTCCAACAGCAAGCTGCCTCTGGTTTCCTTCTTCTCTACATTCTAGCTGTTTACCAGGTCTGTTACCTCATGATGCCATACAATCCCAGAGACTTCCAATAGCCGAGTCTTTTCTGTAAATCCGTCTCAGGGGTTATCATGACACATTTTATGGAGCAAGCTCCGCAGTCAAGGGGCCTCACAGCCTAAACACCACTGCCCTGTTCTCAGGAGTCTTACTGACAATTGAGCTTCAACTGAAGAATGAATTCCTGTTCAGCAGGACACTGGGCAGCCATGTTTAACTGAGGCCTCTTAAAATTCCTAATAGATTTTGCTTAGATGGAGGATGTTCTAGAGAGGACTGTGAAGTGCATGATTTTGTCCTCTTATTGTCACCTTTCCTTGGTGACACTGCTGCACTATATACACCTCCACACCAGCCTGCTGGTGCCCTGGCTCAAGGCTGGTGCAAAGCTTTCCAATGACTTCAAGAATGGACATAAATTGGAAATCTTACTAATAGAAAAATGAACAGATCATTTTTTTTTTTTTTTTGAGACAGAGTCTAGCTCTGTTGTGCAGGCTGGAGTGCAGTGACACAATCTCGGCTCACTGCAACCTCCGCCTCCTGGGTTCAAGCGATTCTCCTGCCTCAGCTTCAGGGGTAGGTGGGATTATAGGAACCTGCCACCATGCCCAACTAATTTTTTTTGTAATTTTGGTAGAGACAGTGTTTCACTGTGTTGGCCAGGCTGGTCTATAACTGTTCGTGATCTGCCCGCCTCGGACTCCCAAAGTGCTGGGATTACAAGCGTGAGCCACTGCACCCAGCTCAGATAATTTTTAAATCCCTCTTCTATTCTACTTACTGCTACCTGATATCCAAGAGCACCACAAATAACCATCCTCTTCTAACTGGTAGTAATTAACGTCCAGTTAGTAAAGTCAACTAGCCCAAATTATTTCCATACAAAAATCCACCAACTAGAAATTAATTTAATTTTGCAAACTCAACTTTTATAATACAAATCTCTACTAGAGCACAGTGGTCTGCTTATTCAGGAAAGTCTGGCTTCTCCTGCAAATAGTTTCAGGAAAACAAAGCATTTTGGGAAAATAAGGGCAAACTGCAGGTGCTCCTCACCTGAGGATTCAATAAATTGAATGAGGATAGGGAAAAGTCTTCACTGACAGGTAAACACACATAAGGACACGTTCGTGTGTGTAAGACCTACACTTTGTAAAGGTCACTTTTAGTTTTTAATTAATTTCTGGGACATTTAGCAAAATGAATAACCTTTTAAAAAAGGCCACAGGCCAGGTACAGTGGCTCACGACTGTAATCCCAGAACTTTGGGAGGCCAAGGCGGGCAGACCACGAGGTCAGGAGTTTGAGGCCATCCTGGCCAACGTGGTGAAACCATCCATCTGTACTAAAAATGCAAAAATATTAGCTGGGCATGGTGGCGCACACCTGCAATCCTAGTTACTCAGGAGGCTGAGGCAGAAGAATTGCTTGAACCTGGGAGGCTGCAGTGAGCTGAAATCATGCAACTGCAACTCCAGCCTGGGTGACAGAGTGAGACTCCGTCTCAGAAAAGGAAAAAAAAAAAAGAAAAAGCCACAAATCTAGTGCGTTTTCTTATCACTTCAATATTAATCAACTAAGCGTGGTGTTAAGAAGCTGTGTTCAAAAAAAACACCTAAGTCGGCCTCTGAGCCTACGGCGTTGTCCTTGGCCCAGAGAGTCAAACAGCAGTGATAACCATAATTAATAATCAAGGCAGTAAGTTTCTCCAAAATTTCAGAAGTTTCACTAATGGCTCCAAAGAAAGCTTAGATCAGAAATTCACAAGTGCCAGGACATGTTTTTAGATTTCTTTTGCAACTTTTAGTCTCCTTACAAAAAGGAAGTCTTTAAAATTAAAAACAACTCTGAGAAGCGTTAGCCCGGTTCGGCTCGGAGTCCTCTGAAAGGCGGCGGTCGCGTTTCCTCTGCAGGGAAGCAGCAGCGCCGGTGCGTCAGGCGGCTCCTGGCGTTGGCCGCCCTCCGCCCGTTTCCGCAAGCGCGCCGCTGGGAGGACGCGTTTGGGGCCCACTGTCCCCTCCCTCCGCCTGGCCCCGCCGGCGGCGCCCCAGGCCGCCTCCTTCGCCAGCCCGGGCGCCGGGTGCTGCGGCCGCGGCCCGGACGCCGCGCAGGGAGCGACGCCCCGAGTCCCTGCGAGCCCCAGGACACCCCGCGCGCCCCAGGACACCCCGCGCGGGGGGCGGAGCAGACGCGTCCCCGATCCCCGCCCGCGCGCAGCTCCTCACCTGCCGGCAGCCGGCGCCGTCGGGGAGGGCCGGGTCGGGGCGGAAATGCAGGGCCTGGCCCGCGCCTGCGCTCCCAGGCCGCCCCGGGCGGCGCCCCCTGCAGGCGGAACGCGAGGCCCGCCCGCCCCTGCGGCGCCCTCGCACACACCTGGCCGCGGGCACACCTGTACACCTAACAGCCAGACCCACCCACGCCGATGCCCTCCGAAGACCCCCCCCGCCGCAGGCACAGCGCAACCAGCTTCACACACCTGGGGACGCCCCACAGCAGTCACATCTACCCTAACACACCTGAGTACTCAGGATCAAGCCCCAACTGCGTGTGAACCCAGACACACCTGGGCCTCAGAGACTCACAGACGTCTCCACGGGCTTGGGGACCCGCCACATCAGATGGACACACCAGCACGCACAAATGAACCCAAGCTCAGACACACCTGGGGATGCAAGCCACATCACCAAGGCCCCCAGCTGAGCACGCACACAGCACAGCCCTGATGCTAAGTACAGACCGTCACCTGGCCACACACCGCCCACGTATTCACCAATACTCTTTTAAAATGAAACTGTGGTCGGAGGAGGAGTGGAAGGATGACATCACCTCTCCCCTAGCCCCAAGACTCATTTCAGCCCAGAAATTATAGGACTGAGAACCAAAAACGGAAGAGGAATTTTTCCCTACAGACTTTGGGTTAAAGCAATGCCACTTGGGGGCCAGGTGGTAGGAATGGCACAGATACGGAGAGTGACACTTCTGTCTCTCCGAAAGACACAAATCTGTGTTTATCAGATTAGTAATAATCCCCCTTAATCATTTCCTGCCCTTTCTACTTTCTTAGGGATGTGGACTGATTGAAATCTTTATATAATCTGGTTTTTATCCAAAGATTTCTAACAATGCAGATATGATTGTATTTTGAACAGATGTATAATTCCAGGAGAAATCTAAACCATCAGGTACATAAGTCATTGGTTTTCATAGAGTTTTTTTCTTGTCTTGGGCACTTCATGATTAAATTGAAATGTATTAAGAAAACTTCATGATTAAATTGAAATGTATAAGAGAAACTTATGTTTTAAGAGCAGTAATCTTAATTTTTTTGAAGGGCAAAAAAATTTTTTTGCCCACTTTATTTCTTGAGGGAGGAAAATCACATCAGCAAAGGAAAGTGAGGCAAATAAATAATTCTTCTGATAAAGGAAAATTAAAGATGACAGACAAGACAAATTTTTGTTTGTTTTTTGTTTTGTTTTTTGAGATGAGTTTTCACTCTGTCACCCAGGTTGGAGCATAGTAGCATGATATGGACTCACTGCAACCTCTGCTTCCCAGGTGCAAGTGATCCTCCCACCTCAGCCTCCTGAGTAGCTGGGACCACAGGCATGCACCATCACGCCCAGATAGTTTCTTCTATTTTTGGTTGAGAAAGGATTTCACCATATTGTCCAGGCTAGTCTTGAGCCCCTGACCTCAGGCAATCTGGCCACTTCAGCCTCCTAAAGCACTGGGATTACAGATATGAGCCACAGTGCCTAGCCAAGACAAATGTTAAGTTGTATCTATCACCAGGTAAGGTTGGGAAAGCCCGATCTAACATAGAATAGGATCTGTGGGATGAAGTCTTCAGTTTAACTTCTTGAAAAACAGCTCACAGTTTTAAGAGCAGTTTTTGAAATGTGGTCCCAGTCCAGCAGCATTGGCAGCACCGGGGTATTCAGCAAATGTACAATCTCCTATTGGCAGCACCTGGGTATTTAGAAATGTACAATCTCCTATTGGCAGTACCTGGGTATTTAGAAATGTACACTCTCCAGCCACACAGGAGGGTGGAGCCCAGAGATGGATATTTTAAAGAGTGATGCCAGTTCAAGTTTGAGACCATCGTCTTTTGAGGATGTACCTCAGTGCTTCTCAAACTTTAATGTACATGTGAATCAACCCAGGATCTTGTTGAAAAATGCATATTCTGGCTCAGTCAGCCAGGAGTAGTGTCTAAGATTCTGCAGGTGGACAGACGGTGCTAAATGAGGATTTTCTTGTGTATGGACACACTCCATACAGTGTGTGTCACTGTAAAGACAAAGGGAGGGTCTCATAGAGACAAAAGTCACAAAGTGTCTCAAGAAAAACAGACTGTGGTCAGTCTAGGCAGGTCCTGGACTTGTCAGTTTAGGATTGGTCAGTTACTCAGGACCCCTTGGCAAGCCAACTGCTCTGGTGGCAAGCCAACTGCTTTTAGGAAGTGGGTTGATTCACCAAGTCTGTTTCGTTGCATTCAAATGGTACAATTGAGTCATTCATTGCAAAGGGTTCAGCTCTGCTCATTCTGGCCCCTTTGCTCTGCCGTTCTACAAACCCCCACATCCTCTAGGCTTAGGGTCATGCAGCCAGCAAATCACTATGCACCTGTGTTAGTCTGTTCATGCATTGCTATAAAAAGCTACCTGACACTTGGTAATTTATAAACAAAAGAGGTTTCATTGACTCACAGTTCCACAGGCTGTACAGGAAGCATGGCTAGGGAGGCCTCAGGAAACTTACAGTTATGGCAGGAGGTGAAGAGGGAAGAGTCACATCTTAAATGGTGAGAGAAGGAGAAGGAGAGAGTAAAGGAGGAGGTGCCACACAGTTTTAAACAACCAGATCTTGTGAGAACTCACTATTACGAGAGCAGCCAGGGGGAAATCTGCCCCATGCTTCAATCACCTCCCACCAGGCCCCTCCTCCGACACTAGGGATTACAATTTAGCATGAGATTTGGGTGGGGACATAGACCCAACTTGTATCAGCACCTGTTCAGAGCTCAGCAAACATTTTCTTCATCAGCTCCAAGGATTTAAACCAGCAAATTGTCTCTAACCAGAATTAACCAGTTTGGTATTTGCATTACCTAAATCAGAGCAGGTAATTGTTGAGCTCTGTTCTCCAGACCTGGGTGTAATAGATGTCTAATTTGTATTCCTATTGAACTAAATATGTTGCTACTTAATATTATGCAAACGAGGCCAGCCTCCTCTTCGTGTTACCTCTCCCACATGCCTCCAGCATTGCAAGTACCACCCAATAGAGGGGAAGATATCCCCTGTATCTCTTGAAACTATAGCTATAATGTGAAATAAACAACTGAGAGGAGAGGCTATATAACGGACTTGAAGTCCACCTGAATAACACCATAAAATCCTCTGAAATATTATCAAATTATTCCAGTAAACTATTCAATCATCATCTTTGGGGCTAAGTAGCCTGCAGACTAAATCCAACCCACCACCTGGTTGTCTATGGCCTTCAAACTAATAATGAGTTTTACATTTTTTAAATACTTGGAAAAAAATCAAAAGAGTCATAATAGTTCATGAGATGTAAGTTTCAGTGTCTGTATGTACAATTTTGTTTGTTGACATTGTCTGTGACTGCCTTCACAGGACAGCAGCAGCATTGAGCAGCTGCTGCTGAGACCATGTGGACTCTAAAGCCTAAAATACTCAACATCTTCCCTTTTTCAGAAAGTTTGCCCTCTCTGCAAACTGTGTTTCTTGCTCTGGCCTCTGTTTCAACACCTTCCTCTCCTTTCTGTAACAGTTGATTTAGGCAACTGTCTCCCTAACGATCCCAACTTCACAAGCCCGGACCTTAATGCTTCCTGTGTATGTTTCAAGCACCTCACGCCATGGGTTTACTTTTTGATCATTTTCCTGTGTAAATCAATATGAACTTAACAAGAAGACTCTCCAGTTTCAGCATAGGATTAATTAGGCTAATTTAGAAAACGTGTGTGCAAAAGACAGCAAGTAGCGTATATTCTGCAAATCATTGCATTCCTTTCATTTCTAAACCTGTCTCTAAAAAGTTGTTGTTAAGTTTAAAAACAGCAGGATTATTTCTCTCTGTGTGGTTATTTTACTGTTACAACACGTCTCACTGCTAAACAATTTCTATGACAAATTAATGAGCAGAGAAAACCAACCTCCTAAAACTAAGTTCACTCACATTAAATTCAATCCCAGTATTTCTCGAATTAATGTTTTAAAGATGATGTGGGTTGCCATCAGGTTTTTGTGAATGAGGCATTGACCTTTTTCTCCACGAAAGATATGCAGTCTCTTAAAAAAAAAAGTATATGAAATTTTCTAAGCAATTGCAGTTGAGGTGGTTTATGCTATTCTTGCCATCTTCCGTAATTTCAGGAACAACAAGCAAAGACCGGAACAAAGCACTAGATGAGATTATTTCCTTAGTTTTGTTGAATAAATCCCTAATCATGAATAGGAGAACAACTGTAAGAATTCTCAGAAGTAATCTGACCAGCCAAATATACTATCCACCATGCTCAAAGCTAACGACATTGAAAGAGCTGTAGGCAGCTCTAACCACACCCATCTCTAACCCTAGCTTCTTGCTGCCCATCAAGTCATTGGCCTGCTAGCCAAACAGTAACTTTTTCGAGGAAAGAATGCTAATCTGGTGTCTAGAAATGTAGACATTACAAAATGAAATGTAGCTTGGCTCCCTTTGAGTGGTCAGTGTAGGGAATGAATGCATATTCAGTGGTCCTCATAGACCAGGCAGCACATGACTCTTCTCGTGTCATCCTCTGAACAATAGTATGAACCGGATATTATTATCCCCATTCTACCTGTGAAATGACTCTGAGAGGTAAAATAACTCAAAGGTACACTGCCAGTAAACGAGAGTATAACAGCTTGAACTCACAGACAGCTGAGCTGAAAACCCGTGCTCTTAACATGAGGTTTAAATGGGGAAGCTGGGTAATATCCCCTGAAATGTATATTATCAGGACTAATCATTTATATTTGAACCTGTTTGTTAAAAGTATTAGTTCCAGTAAATAATTCTATATGTGTAGTTCTCTCGGTGAAGCGCTTTCAAGTACATGATCTGTTTGATCCTTATTCTTGCATTAAATAGTAAAGACCAGGGAGAATTTCTTCTGCTTCGATCGGTGTGTGGCCTGTCTGAGCCCAATCAAAGATCACCAGGTGCAAACTGTAGTCGGATAAAGTCAGATTTATTGGCTCGTTGCAAGGAGAGAAGACGGAGGCCAGAGGAACCCTGGGATGCTTCAGCAAAG